CAATCCCTGGCTCCAGAGGCTGTTTCTGCAGCTAAACCTGGCTGCCAGCGCAGCGGCTGCCGCAGGTGCCCCTTGGCCATGGCGATGCCCCAGCCTGGAGCCCCCCGCAGCAGCGGAGACCCCGCATCCTGGTAGCCCGTCTCCACAGGGCAGCGTGGAGGTGCTGGGTGCTGGGTGCCCTGACTGCTGTGCTCAAGTTGAGGAGAGGGCCCGAGCACCGGGCACCTTCGTGATCACCAGCTGCGGAGCCACATCCCGGGCAGGAGCTGAAATCCGGCAGCTGCCGCCCGCGGGCTGCAGGTAACTCCTCTCCACAGTTGTTTGCGGAGCGTGTTTGCGCAGCCACTGGCTCTCTCCGGGCTGTAAATCTGGTGGTCAGAGCCAAACCTGACACTGAGAAAAACCCCATGGCGTTTCCCTTTTGCGTTTGTTGACTTGTCGCCAGCAGCCTGGGGTTCTGCAGGTTAATCCTGTAAAGCGTGAGGAGCAGATTCACCGGCAAAGGGGCTGCTGCGGACTGCTGCCGGGGGAGAGGAGGGGAGGGAGGGCAGGCCCCGTGGGATCCCGGGGGGCAAGAGGGCTCGTCCCTGCCCTGCACCCTCGAGCAGGGACCTGGCACCGCGGCTGCCGGGCAGCGACGCGACAGGGAGGTGACAGTGACATCCTCCTTTTAAACCTTGCTGCGTCTTGCTTCTCTCTCTCTTTTTGTTTCATCTCTCCCTCTCAGAAAAGCCATTTAAATGTAATTCCATTCTTAAAAGCTCTCCCTCATGCATGCCTAATGAACGTCAGGCAGAGGCGCCGGAAACGGGCCCGAGCAGGAGCCAATCTCACCGAGTGTCGACAAGTCATTTGGAAGAAGCCCTGGGAGCGCGCCCGGTTTTATTACAGTGTAATTAGAAATAAAACCTTGTTGCAAGAGGAGGATGAGGGATGGGCGTTAATCCTGTAACGGGAGGAGATGGAGCCCTGCTTATAAAGGAGATTAAGGGAGGGAGGCAGAAAGCCCGTCACGACTCCCTGACTCCCACCCCTCCTCTGCTGTTTCCCCCCTCTCTGGCTCCGGCAGCAGCAGCAGGCGTGTGGCCGGTGCTCCTGCCTGTGCCTGCCCGCTCCTGCCCGCTGCCACCTGGGCGAGGGTCTCTGGGTCTGTGTGGGGAGGCTCCCGACGAAGCCTCCAGTGCCGGCAGTGGGCTGCAGGCAGCTCCCCAGGGGAAGGGCAGCGCGGGCAGGCCCGGGGAACAGGCAGCTGCCTGCGCCGTGCGCTCCCCGGGACGCAGCACAGCCGGGGCTGCTGCGGATGCAGCTACCGCAGTTTCTAGGGATGAGGTTTCCGAGGCACGGTGCTCTCCAGGCAAGGGGCTGAGGAGGAGGAGGAAGAGCCCTTTGTGCCAGCCCAAGCCGCTTGCTCCGCTGGTGTCAGCTGTGCCACAGATGCCCGTGAAACTTCAAGGTGGGAACGCTTGGCTGAGCCGTGCGGGAGAGACGTGCCGCCTCTGCGAGGGCTGGGGAGCGGCAGCCGCCATGCACCTCCCCTGGGAGCCCGACTGCAGGCAAACATGTAAATAAATCTGTCAGATATTGTGCGACTCTTATTAAATTTGCATCGGGCTGGAGTCGCGGTTCCTCTTTAACGTCTTGGGGGTGGCTGGATGGGTCTTTTAATCTCAGTGCCCAGCCCAGGCCCACTCTGCTCCCGGCATTTGCCGTGGCACCGAGCTGGGCTCGGCCTGCCGGGGTGAAAGGCAGCTCTGGGGCCAGCCCCTTCCCCTGCCCCGCGTTCCCCAGCTGGGCACCGCATCCCGCTGCTCGGCCGTTGTGGGCAGGGAGGTGCCTGTGAGCCACCCGGCAGCGGCAGAGACCTGGGCGAGCCGTGCCGTGCCGCGCCGTGCCGTGCCATGCTGCGGGGTTGGGTAGCAGTGGCCCTACCGGGGGGCTCCTTGTGCCTGGGCGAGCCCCAGGCCGGGCTAAGGGCATCCTGGAGCAGCAGCCGGAGCCGTTACAGCAGCAGCAGCAAATCCCAGGCTTTGTTCTTTGGGGCTTCCCCCTCCGTGCCTTCGCCCCGGGGAGGCGTTTGTCGCTTTAAACATGGCCAGGAATAGCACCGAGCGGTTATTGGATTTGTCCGGGATGCCTCGGGATGCATATTCTCAAAGTATGGCTAATTCATAAGTGCTGGCACCTATTGATTCTCTAGCGGTACCAAGGGAAAGTTATCTCATTAGTCTTACGAACTATAAAGTGTGCTCTCTCCTGAAGCCCTGACCCCATTGTTTTTATAAATCTCTATTGGATGGAGCAGTAGCTGGTAACCTGTATCGACTGTAATTTTTCTCTTGCAATTGGAAGGCCCTTGGGACTGGCGCTGAAGTGCCGTGGCCACCACAGGCAGCTGGATGCGGGAGAGGATTTTGGTAGCGGCGTGAGCAGTGAGAGACCCCCCCGGCCCTCGTGCTGTTCCCTGGTGAGGGGCAAGTCGGGGGCTGGCGTGGCTCTCGCCTGCCCCGCACCCCTCTTGCCGGGGGGG